TGGAGGTCTTAAGACTTAGCTACATCCTGGCTCTACTGCTATCTGGACCAGTTGGCCCAGATGATTCTTTTCCGTAGGTGCTGGCCTTTGGAGTTCATCAGAATTAAAGTTAATCTAGAGATCTGAACTAAGAAGTATATAAGTGACATACAACTCTATTTCTTGTTTCTTCTGTTTCTTCTGAACAGACATGTAGAGGTGATTCTGGAATGGATGAGGACAAACTAACCAGGTACACAAACTGGGGCTACACACAGATCAAATTATATATACAGAGACAGCTTTAGATGGCAGGAAGGTGGTTTACCAGATTTGACTGATTCATCAGCAGAGAAGCCATCTGAACAAAGCAGACCTGTTCACACTTGTACAGGTTACATTCAAACTAAACTTTTATAATTCAGACAGCCTGAAAACTTCAATTGATGCTTGTAGAAGCTAGGCTATTTGCTCATATCCCAACCTATTCCCAAGGTGATCTTCTACATAGCATGAAATCAGCTTATTGGAGGAATTACTTATACCCATATGAACACAAATGATCTACTCAGGCATATCCCAGTAAATTCCATTATAATTTTCAAGGATAAGGTCTTTCCAAAATAACTCTAAATTTCCTCTTTGAAAAAAAACAAAAACAAAAAGCACACCCTGCCCTTAGTTGCACGACATTTTAATGTTATTACTAGACAACTATGGGTTTTGAATACCAAGTCAGAGTATTAGTAATTGTGGGGATAAAATAAAGGAAGATCCTCTATAGAGCTACCTTGAGCTCCTGGAGAAAAGGTGAAATATCCATCTAACCAGCTAACCACAAATGGCTCCCAGCTGGCGCTGTGTCCTCCCTGCACTAAAAACAATGGAATAGAAGTCTAGTAAATAAATATATAAGCCCTACATTTAACATGTTGCAGGCAAAGCCTTATATACACATAAGTACACCCATGTTGCCTGCAGTCATCTCATCAAGAGATCTCCAGCAAATGAAAATGTCTAGGAACATTTCCATTCATGTCCTTATAAATAAGACAGGACTGGAACTATTTACTCCTGCTTAAAGCTGAGTCCATACTGCTGACCTTGTTTGTTTCTGTCCATTCTTGTGGTGAACAATTCAGGAGGTAATATATTTTATTTGAGGAGGATGGGTGACTAAGATCCACGTCACTTAAGGCATATCCACAGAGGTTTACATACATATAGGGTATGTAACTATGATGTATTAACACATCATAAACATAATTCTGGAAAAGGCACTTTGCCCCACTGTGTATCTTCTTCCAATTTAGTTACTAATTTTAAAGTTGTGTGTGTGTGTGTGTGTGTTTGTGTTTTTTGTCTTTTTAAAAAGGCAGGAAGGTTAGGGAGCCAATGAGAGTCAAAAAAGTAATCCAAAGCCTCTTGGTACTAATGGGCACCATGTTAAGGTCCCTATCACTGCCCAATTATGCAGCAATGATGCTGTTAAAAATTAACATAACATCTAAGCCCAGCTCTTTGGCTAAAAACGGAATTTGCAAAGAAGGGCATTAAAGTAAGCAACAGCAGTAGACCCTGTCAAGTCACTGAGGCTCTGGCAGCTGCCCCCAAATGCCAGGTGTTGATGCTAAATGTGGTTCAGGGTGTCCCCCCCCCCCCCAGTTCATGTCATTAACTTCAGGGCCCTACAGTGAAGATATTATATGGCTGGGGTTTTCAGCACACTCTCTTCAGAGTTGTTAAGCCTGAAACTGAATAATGTTCTATTTGAGACCTATTGGGTTAATATGATAGGCTGATGTGTGAGTCATGCCATCCCCTTGCTGTACTGAAAAAAAGAAGAAGAAATAGCTACAAAGACACCTTCTGTACAAGTGCAGGAACAGTTGCATCTTGTTTTACAGATATTTTGTAAAATAGGATTAGCAGCTCACTTCTCCCTCAACTATTCACACATTTTGCTATTTGGAAGCCCTTGGCCATATCTTGCTATGGAGGGACATAGAGGGGGGAAAAAACAAATTTGAAAAAAATAACATATAAAACAAGATATCCCACTCTTCAATGTTGTTTCTTCTCTGGCATTAAGACCCACATTTTTTATCACCATTCTCCACAAGAGAAAAGAAAGGGGGAAAAAAACAACATGAAACACATTTTCCAGCCTACACCCCCTCAGCCCTTCCCTCCCACACCAATCACACAGGAATAAAATGGTTGCTATACACGCCTCTCCTTCAGAATTTTGTTAGTGCACCATGACATCAGCGTTGAAGAAGCAGCCAAGTTTAGAACTCCATCTGGGACAAATAACGTCGGGTTGGATTGTGCTGTCTTTTGTTTATACACAGTGACTGAGAATGTCTTGGTGGTAAGCAAACTCGCTCATAAGATTTATTTCTCAACTCTTCCAAAACTTTTTTTTTCTTTTTTGCATCCTGGACATACTGGAAATAAAATGGTGAATTAAAAAAATGGGTATTTCCCTCCTCCTCTGTCTTCTTGCTTGATCTCCAAAGAGAATTCATTGTTCTGAAAGTTGTAATTAGCCTTTAAGATGAAACACTTAATTGAAAACTAAAAAATACTGTGGCAAACAAGGAAAATTGAAGGCCCATTCTTATATTCTTTCCAGCTAAACTTTAATTGAAGAGATTCTAGTATCCACCTGGGAATTTCAGTATGAATACCATGCATAGGTATGAATTATCTGGTTCCAAATCTTTGTAGATAAGGGGTATAAAATTCCTGCCATAATCCCTCTTGTCCATCAAAACTCTTACAGGCTACAGAATGTTTTTTCCCAAACTCAAGAAAGTTTCCCAGCACAAAAAAGCAAATATGAAAATGAGAAATCAGCCCTAGAAATCTTATTTCCACACTGGTTTTCAATATGTAGACATAACTCCAGTATAGAAGAGATCTTCATTTGCAGATTCACATGGCACATCAAGAAAACAAGCTGCTGTTGCTGCTGCTGCTGTTATGATTACTTAGTTTTTCAATTTACAAAAAAACTTTTTGCCCATACTTTCTCATTTGCTACTTGCAAGAAATTGGGATACGAGAGAACATCTTTGTCTATAGAGAGAAATTTGCCCAGAAACTTCTCACCTAATCTGGAATCCTAGTCAAGATTAAAGATCAATCAGCCTATAGGTACAAAAGAGATGTATTCTACAGACAAGGCTCATGAAGATGGTAGTGAAGCAACATGCCTGCAACAATAGGCCTCATTTTCTCCTTCATACAATTGGTTGTTTTTTTGAAGAGTAATAGCCAACTGTCACAGCACGTAGCAGCACCTCACTACCATTGGGTCATGGAACCCCACTAGGAAATCCCATGCCTTCGACTAGACTAGAAAGTTGAAAAAAACATTCTGGAAGAAGGCCGTGGCAAACCACTTGCATATTTGTTGCCAAGAAAACTATATGGACATTCCATGTACAGGTAGACCTCACTTAACAACTGCCCTGTTTAATGACTGTTCAAAGTTATAACAATGCTAAAAAAGGTAAGTTTACGGCTCGTCCTCACATTTACGACCGTCACAGTGTCCTGGGGTCATGTGATTGCCATTCAGGTGCTTTGCAGCGAGTTTACTACCATTGCAGCGTCCTGTGGTCACATGATCATCATTTGCATGCTTCACGGCCAGCTTCCGACAAGCAGAGTCAATGGAGAAGCCGGCAGTAAAATCACAAGTCACATCACATGATGTCTTAACCACAGTGAAAATGAGGATGTAAGCCTGTTGCAGTCACATGATATTTTGCTTAGTGACAGAGTTGTTGGTCCCAGTTCTGGTTGTTAGGTAAGGAACTACCTGTCACTTTTTAAGTTTGACTAAAGAAAGACTTTACCTTAAGATAATAGAAGTCTTCTCTGTTTTCTACAAATAAACTATTGCTACTTGTTGTAGGCTTGAAAAAGTTGACAAGCATCCTGAAGAACATGCCACTTTAAATGGAGCAGTTCGAGTCTTATTGATGCCATGACTGTATCAAATTTGTCATTCAATCCCTGAATTAATTTACGATTATGCAATATAGCCAATATTCTGATCGGGGACTTTGAAGTGAATCGGGGACTTGACTCACTGAATACATCCTCTTTGATCTTCTCTGTATAATGAGGAATGACCATCTGCCATTGTCTAACTAGAGAACTGCTTGCTGTTAGAGGGAAAATGTGATACAGATGTTCTAAAAAGATTGTTTTAATTCCACCCACCCCCATGCTACATCCCACTTTTTAATTAGTTTTGTCCTACTGTGTTTATATCTCCCTAGACAAATTGGCCATTTAGACATTTGAGGAAAATCAACATGATGAGCCCATTAGATAAATGGTGGTATTGAACAAGACACTTTTCAGCAGCGTCTGCAGGATGAGGATCAAAATAGGCAAGATGGCAGTGATCAAAGCCCCACTCCTTTGCCACGTGTATAAAAGGGGTGGAGTTAGCTCTTGGCTAGCAGACTCTGGGGAACCTTGTGTTACATAGTCTTCAGTCCTATCACAGAAGGAAGTGAATTAAGTGAAAGGCATAAAGACTACAGCTGCAGTTCTCTCTCTTCTCCCCCCAAAACTAGTTCCATTTTAACCCTTTGGACCTTAATTCTAAGTAAACATTTAAACCAGGGGTTCTCAAAGTACAGCCTGCGGGCTGGATACGGCCCGCCAGGGTCATTTATCCAGCCCGCCTGCCTGATTGGCCGCCGCTGCTGTCTGCCAGAAGCGGAAGTTTCGGGGCTGTGTCAGGAGCTGCAGGCGATGCACAAGAAGGGAGATCGCAGAGCCAGACTATTCTACATGACAGGTATGCCGGGTCTGGCGGCTCTCCTCCTCTCATGTTTTTTTTCAAACTATAGTCCAGCCCCCCAACATTCTGAGGGACCATGAACTGGCCCCCTGTTTAAAATGTTTGAGGACCCCTGATTTAAACCATTAGTTTGTAAGTCACAGATTGCAGAAGTATACATTCCAAGCCCCCACCTTCAGAATTTACTGACCTGCTGTGTTCCATCTCCATTGACTAAGTGAGGCATCATGGCTACTTCCCCATTCAGCAGTGATGGCAACTCCAGTGGGATTTGGTCGGTCATCATCATTGTGACGTACATTCATGGAGAATTTTCCTCTGCGAGCTTCCTAAAAGAAATAAAATTTACATGGGGTAATATGTTTTTTACTTTAATCAGAACCTTCAAAAGAATGCAAAGACTTGGTGCCAAGCTGACTGATATTATGCCCTGTTTCCATACCCGAATGACATAATTCCGTATTTTTGAAATATGGCTTTCTAAAGTTGCTTCTCCGATTGAGGAGGAGTGCAAGTTAAATAAATAAAAAATAAATGTAATTTATCAATTATATGCAAGTACAGCATATAAACACTTTAAAGTAGAGTTAAAAGTGTAAAGAATTAACTCAATTTATTGCTTTGTAAATACTGCTGTACACAGAGAGATTTCTATGCAACCTTGCATGGAGGCCTTTGTGCATATAAATATGCACTCCAATTCTTTTCTCTACAGCCATTCATACTCTAAGCATGGACCTTACAAAGAATGAATATTTCCCATGCAAACTACCTGGCATAGCCTCACTCTGAATTTGCATGTTAGATTTAAAGTTAAGTATTTTCTAAGTCAAGCTCAACTCCTGGCAATGTCATGGACATCCACATAGTTTTCTGGAAGACAGGACCGAAGCAAGAAATCTATGAGATCAGAGCCAAGGGGTGATGGGGCCACCAATTCTCTTTTCTGGTATCCCAGTCAGTCAGTCAGTCAGTCCAGCCGTCCTTCCTTCCTCCCCTCCTTGTAATAGTGCCTGCCTGCCTGATACAACAGGTTTCTGGAGAAGTAACAGATTATTCTTGCCAGGGGTCTAAACTAGTAACTTGAAAAAGGGTTTTGAAATCAGGCAGAGGGCTGCAAGTGATCCTGACACCACAGCTGCTGTTTCCCAACTAACATTTCAAGAACTATCAGAAAAGCTACCAACAGCTTTTCAACAAGAGGTCCTTTAAATATTTTGTCAACTGCATTATCAAGCTGAATTCAAGGCCATAATTTTAGCTCTCTATAAAAGGAGAAATGAATGTCCTTCAACAGATTAAGGAACTAATATTTCAAGAGTGGAAAAAAAATATTTCATATACAGTATTTTAAAAACCTACTTCTCATAACCTTGATCCCAAGTCATCTCAAGTATCAGCAGCCTATATAGCCTACTAGCCATATCTGGAAATTCAGAACCACTGAGCTGAGAAATATAAACTACTACTTTCTGCAGGAGAACAGGATAAATTACTGTAGGGTAGGCAAGATGAGAACAGATGAGAACCAACATGCTAGTCTTAGATGCAAAATGTGCAAGCTTTAGACAAGTCATAAACAAGAAGTGAGTGTTCACAAACACATTGGCAACAGTAACAGCTTGATTCAAGAAAGGCTCATGGTCACAAAAATCTACTTCAGAGAAAGCATATTGATCCCAGACCAGCAGCCATTCATCCAACACAGAAGCACTAACTGGGTCAAAATGGTCAGTATTACAGAATTAAGAAAAAGTATATAATCCTGGGGGCAGACAGAAGACAGATATTTCAGAACTAAATATTTCAGGGCTGCAGAATGGACTTGAACTTTTCTATATTTATATTTATATTTGGTAGCACCCAATCTTTTTCTATTACAAAATCTAAACAGGTATTTCCTTATGGTAATGTCAATCAAATTCACTCAACCTATCTATCAAATGCCCTTAAAAAGACTCTAACCATTTTACACACACTACACATTCCATCCATAATTCTCAATTTTTATGAGTACAAAGAACAACATGAGTCTATCTAGGGTCCCCTTGTTTTGCTCAAACAAGACCTTACTTTAAATTCAGAGATCAATCATGATGGGTTTTGTTTTTATATTTAAGACTTATTTTACTTTTGACATGCTAAAAGATTAATTCCCAGGGTTGGTGTGGACACACGATTCTATTATGTGCATACGTTTTAGAAAAATAAATGTGGCACTGGCTTACAGCAACTTCAAGAGTATGTTGGCCTGTTATCATAGTCCATCAGTCATGCAAAGACCCCCATACAAATACAGACACTCTTTCATTTTATTGGTCAGTCAGTCAAACCCAAAGATATTCCCTACTCACTACAAGCATACTTATAAAAGTTCATTAAGGAGACTCTAAGATATTGCAAGATTGACAGATATTATACATGCATTAACATATCCTATGGGATACAAATAGAACTAAAACAAACAAAACCAAGTTGATAAAACCTGAAAAATATTGTACAGAGCTATGCGATATAAAGTTTAACATTCTAAAACAGTCATTTTTAAAGTTTTTACACAGCCATAACAATTTCTGAAAGTAAGAAGCCACAAGTGACTGTAGTAGTCTTATTATTCAATGGGTACATACTTTCTATAGCGAAACCCAAGCATGTCAAGCTGAGCATAAGTCAGTAAACAACATAATTAAGAATGTAGAAAGGTAGCTGAGTTTCTACAGCAAACAATTTTCCATTATATTTTTGGGCAGCAGTGAAGCAAAAGGAACCAAGTACAGACTAAAAACACATGGACTGCACAATACTTATTCAAAGATCAATAAGACTGTAAAGCTTTGATCTCTGTTTTAGAACTTAAATGAATGCCCTGATCTTGGGTGGAACTGTATGCAGAGCTACTCATTTTTGGTTCATCTTGCTGTCTGATTCAGCCTACCTAAATCCAGGAAATGGGAAATTTCATAACATTGCCTTCTCAATCCATGAAGTCAGGATAAGCATGAAACTTTTTGAATGTCAGAATCACCCTAAGTCAATCATTGAGCAATGTGACTCTCAGTGTCATCTACGTAGTTGTCAGATTGACAATGCTCCATGGTTCCGGTGATCTAGAGTGTGTGTGCAGCAGGTACTCCTTCCTTCTGAAACTCATGGGGAGTAGCCAAGCAACAGACCTTCTCAGTTGTGGTTCTCATTTTATGGAACATTCTCCCTCTGGAGATACTGGCAGACTCTTCTCTACAGATATTTCAGAAACTACCCAAAGCAGTGTTATTCCAGAGAATGCTTGTCCTTAATCTTGGTCTAACTGAAGAGCACCTATGATGTGATATATTTCTATTCATGATTTTTATTGTCTTGTTTTTATTTTGACATTGTTGTAAACCAAGAATCTATTTGGATTGGGCAGGTTATAAATATTATAAACTAAATATATTATAATTTATAATATATGTATACCAAAAAAATGTATTAGTTAGATAGGATTTTTTTTAAAAAGGTGAACTGTTCACAACCTATAAATTAGTTTCATATAGCAAAAGACAGTCAGCAGAGTCATCTTAAATAAAAGTATCTTTAAAAATGTGTATCAGTTAATCTGAAATAAATTGAGTTGCTCAAGATTGAAACAATTTTTTTAATACTACAGTACATTTAAATTTTCTAGGAAAAAAACCCACACATTCTAATATTAACATACCAGGAAGATGTTTCTTCTCAATCTTCCTTCTATTTTCTGCTGACAAAACATATATATCCCACATTACTGTCTTTGGGGCACTGAAGGCAGCTAAGAATAAAAAATAAAGCATACTCTTCCAAAGTCTGAAAAAGCCTAGCTGAAGAGCAATTCAGATTTCAACTTAAGTTATCGCCCCATGCATTTTTACTAGGATGTAATGTTTATTTGAACTGGATTGAAATTATTGTTTGAATTCATACACAGAATCACAAGTACAAGGTAAGGTTGAGTTGAACTCCATTCCTTGATACTTCATCCATGCAGTTTTCTTGGGAAGATTACAAAAACAATTTGTCATTTCCTGCTTCCAGGATGTTATTTTGACCTCTCAATCTGGTAAAATAAAAAATAAGGTGGTCTTCAAGTCTAGTTCAATACCGGGTGGCTTCCTGGACATATCTATGTGGGCTACTATGGCAAAAATACTTATTTAAAAAAAAACCTTCCCGATGTAACACGCAGGTCAGGTGTTCCCTGAAAGTGTCCAAACCAAGTTCAGGCTCACCCTTCTTAGCATCTGAGCCCAAAAAACTTTGGCCAGACAACTGACTGAAAAATCCACTGGGTCTGGGTTACCAGAAAACCGGATAAGACATTTCAAGTAAAATTAATTCTGCATCAATTTCTTCTTTCAGGAGTTGTTTTAGGATTAACAATCGCTAAATATTTTTCCCTCAATACTTTAATGCAGGAATGATAGTTTTCCAAATGGTTCTCCAGAACACTGAAAAATATCTTGTATCTACTGAACAAAAACAAACAAAAAAAAAGATACGGGTGGAAAAAATAAAATGACCAAAAAAATAAATAAAATAGAATTATACATCAGAGGTGGTTTTCCATGCACCCAATTTACCATCATTAGCTGTACCAGTCTAGGGTCCAGCAGATCAGTCAAACTGTGAGGTTGTTTTGGAGGGCTCCCAATGTGACACAAATCATACACTGATTTGTGATTTATGATCCATGAATGCAGATAAAGGAATGACTCATGTATCAAGAAAATCTGAGCACGTAAAAACAAGCACATCTGTGCAGGAGAGGTGCCACGGCTTGCTGCTCGATCTCATGAAGAGGAGGAGGAACTGTTCGTATCAAAAACAGCAACAAGGGGAACTTGAAAGATGCTGGATGGTCAAGGCATAAAGAGCCTGGAATTTGTTGACTTGTCTGATGTGTATTCATTAAAATAGTCATATCACATCTGCTTCAAAGCTTCCTTGGCCCTAAAGGAATTCTTTGTATACCTAATTGCCAGCACAGCAGATTAATCTGAAAGCATCCAAACAAGACAGCCTTATTTGTAACAACCCCACATAAAAGGATTTATCTTCTGTAAATTGTGCCAATTAGCATAAAGAACACCTTGCTGAAAAGCTACTGTTTTCTCCAAATGAGAGAGAGAGGGAGGGAGGGAGGGAGAGATCAACTAATTCAGATCAAAATAGAATCTGTTTTTTTAGGAAGAACTTAAAAAAAAATCAGTCATGGAAGGCTCAACAATTCCAAACCCTCTGGTTGTTTTTATTCCCAAGGAAAAAAGAGGGAATTAGGCAATCATTGGGTGAATTGAAATGAGCGCTGTAA